TTTTTTATTTTTAATGTAATTATTTAATTTAATAATTTTTCATGGCTGTTTATAAACATAATAAAGAGTAGATATCTTTTTGTCACAGGTACCACATCTATAATGTGGATGAGAATAACCCAGGGTTCTCTGAAGCCAGAGCGTGTTACTATGCTGCTCAGATCATTCAAGGCCTAGAGCATCTACACCAGAAGAGAATCATCTACAGAGACCTGAAACCAGAAAACGTTCTGCTAGATAATGAAGGTGAAGATGTTAAAATGCACCACTCCTCAACATATACACAAATCTGAGGGGTTAAGAGCCATTTCAGTCATGCACGTCATGCTGGTGTTTTCAGGTCACGTTCGTATCTCTGATCTTGGCTTGGCTGTGGAGCTTGCAGATGACCAGCTCAAAACCAAAGGCTACGCTGGAACTCCAGGTGACAACATCCATCATTAAGTTCACTATAGTTTGTGATCAAAAATCTCATGTCAAGAATCATATCTTGTTCATATAAAACACCATAATGTTAAACAAAAGTAGGATGACACTGGGTCATGAGAGCTGATGCCTTAAGGTTTATTCATAAAGATGTTCACCTCACCTCACCAGTGTTTGTGTGTTGTTTTCAGGGTTCATGGCCCCAGAGCTGCTGAAGGGTGAAGAATATGATTACTCAGTAGATTACTTCACTCTCGGAGTCACGCTGTACGAGTTCATTGCGGCCAAAGGACCCTTCAGAACTCGAGGAGAAAAGGTGATATTCAACATTCATTCTTCAGAGGATCTTTATTAGATTCACATTTATGTTTTCAGCAGATGCTTTTTATATCCAAAGTGACTCACACAGAACATGCTTTTGCTTGGAATGGGGGGAAATTGCAAGGCCTTGTGACACGTTTTTTAAAAGCTGAACAAATTTTAACTTGATCACGCCATGTCATGCTCTTCAGATGCAAACTAATCCTACTAACATACACGATACACATGATGTTTCGTAGTAAACCTGCAGATGCATATGATGTAGTAGAGTAATATTCGTTTATTTAATTTTTAGCAAATAATATTTACTGAACATACCAAATGTAACTGGGACTTGGTTGGACATCTGTTAGGTTTCGTCTTGTTTTAGTGCATCCCATAGAAATGAATGGAAGAACATCTGGTACACTTTATATTGAGTGTCTGAACATTTAGCATGTCATATTTGGGCTCTCAAATTACAGCTACATCTAGCTTCACCCACAAGATTCATATATATATTATTAGGTGTTAACCTTTGAACCAAATGACCAAGAAACTACACTTCTTCCTCTGGTTCCTGTTTCTATCCAACTAGATTTTCCCACATTTGGGATTTTGTTAAAAACATTATTTTTATCCTAGAGCTTGAATCATTGGTCAGATGGTCAGCTTATGCTGGCCAAAATGTACTGAAGTGGTTTCGATACACCTAATCATTGTAAATGTGAATGAAATGAACAGCAGGACATCAGGTGAGGATGTTTCGTGCTGGTAGCATTGTTTGTGCTTACTGCA